CTGGAATATCACACACACACACACACACACACACACACACACACATGAGTGCCAGTACAGTAATGCAGTGGTTCCCAACCTTTTTTGCCTGAGACCCCCCTTTTCTCCCGGAAAATATTGTAAGGCCCCCTCCACATTTAATGATATAATCGCTCATATACTTTACAGCAAACGGTGTGTTTTTATGCACAAATAATAGCCTAATGTTCCCAGAGATGGGTTGTGGCTGGAAGGGCTGTCAGGGTTTCAGGAAGGATGAGGGAGCGAGGACTCAAATGCAACAGAAGATGGTATTTATTAATAAAAATAAAACAAAAAGGACAACAAAAACCACCCCGAGGGGGAAAAACATAACTATAAAACAAACACTCAAACAAACTTGGATGGGCTGGCAGGACAAACAGGACTGGATCTCACAGGACATGGAAATAACGACAACGAACTGGCACAGAACAGAAAACATGAGGGGATTATAAAGCAAAAGTAAATTGACACAAGCAAGGAGGGTGGGACTAGACAATAGACGGGAGAGCGCATGACAGAGACAACACAAGCCATGTGCTCACATAAAACAGGACAAGAACATGCAGCCAATGAGAGAACTCATTAACCGCATGTTCATGACAACACAAGCACAACACTGAAGCACACGCAAAAGCACGTGACCACAATGTAAACACAGAGCCACATGCTTTAACAACAGATGCAAGACACGAGCACACGATGAATGAAAACACTCACCGAGCGCTCACACACGCAGCGTGCATGCTTCATCCCAGCGCCGACCAAAACCGAAACCAACTAGACTGAGACGCTGAGAATGAAACACCACTCTGCTGACAGACGAAAACACAAACACGAGTACAAGAGCGCACGCGCGCATCCGAGGCATGCAAAGCCCGCGCAGGCGCATTAAGCCTGGTTTATACTTCTGCGTCAAGTGACCGGCGTAACCCACGGCGCAGGCAACGCACGCAGCTGTGCATTTATACCTCTGTGCGCTGTCTCTGTTGGTCTGCATTAACACTTCCGAAACGCTAGTGGGCAGTGAGGTGTAAATGTTTCTCTGTGTCGAGTTTCTTCGCCTCTGTTTTGCTTTCCTGAACACTTCCTGGATGTACAAGTGGCTCAAACTCGCTCATTTTGAGGCAGGAACCGGCGGACGTGCAACAACTTTAACTATGAGGTAAACACAAAACAAAACTTTCCATCCGGAGCTCCTTCACGGGACTCCACACTTGTAAACAATCGCTCGCGCCTTTCGCGCGGCTCTCGGTCCCGCCCAGACACGTCAGCGTTACCAAGCTGACCAATCACAGAGCTTGCGCTACGCGTTGTTGCGACGTGTAGTTAAATTTTTTGAGAGGTGCACGTCAGTGACGGTGACGGCGAAGGGCTATGCGTCAGCGCCGTAACATACGCCGGTGTTTGACGCAGAAGTATAAATCAGCCTTTAAGCGGGAGCCCTCTGCGTACACCCACAACGATGCGCGCGCACACAGAGACAGAAACAAGTGCTCGACCCAAGAAAACTCGAGCCAAGCACAACAGGACTAGACATGACTAGTGTCCGGATTCTGCCACCAAAACAAGAGTTTACATGACCAGAGTGGCAGAACCCTGACAAGGGCATCTGCTGCGTAAAACATGTGCTGGATAAGTTGGTGGTTAATTCCGTTGTGGCGACCCTGGATAATAAAGGGACTGAGCCAAAAAGAAAATGAATGAATGAATGAATAATAGCTTAATGTAAAGTATAAACGCAAAACATCAGCAGGCCATTTGTTCCTGAAAAAAGGTAAGCTTTTGGCCTTTAAATTGACCCTATTTGAAATTCAATAACAATCTCAGTATTCAAACTGGTTTATAGGGAAAAAATTACGGGCTATTACAATTTACTTTTGTCTGAGAAGATTCTGTCTTACCAAAATTTTTGTTTTGCTCTTATTCTTATTATACTTTTTTTACATTATTTCTTTACTGTTGATTTTGTATTGTAGATGTTATGTTGTGTGGGTATAAAAGTTCAAAATAAAATGAAAAAAGTTAAATTACAAAAAATAATGCGATATGCACATTAATAAAGCAGCATTTTTTATGACGCTGTATAACAAAAAACACATAACCACAGCTGCCTGACTCAGTGCAGAATTAAATGTGCAGCTCAACTCTCCTGTTTCCAGCAGAACTGCTGGTCTGGAGCACCACAGGATCAATACACATAGCTGGCTGCTATAGCCGTGCCAATGCCAAACGCTAATTTCAGTGGTGCCAGCGGCGGAAATCCTGGGCTGTGGGCAATGTGAAACATCTTCTGTTCTCTGATGAGTTCACCTTCACTGTCTTTCCCACGTCCGGGAGAGTTACGGTGTGGAGAAGTCCCAAAGAAGCGTCCCACCCAGACTGCTGATACCCAGAGTGAAGCATCGGGGGGATCAGTGATGGTTTGGGCTTAATATCATGACATTCCCTAGGCCCAATACTGGTGCTAGATGGGGCACTGCAAAGGACTACCCAACTATTCTGGAGGACCATGTAATCCAATGGGTCAAACATTGTATCTTGAAGGTAGTGCCTTCCCACATAGCAAAATTTCTCTGGCCCAGCTCTGGCCCACACAATCAGGTTTTGCTTGGCCCACATGCCGCAGTGAATTACGGTACATGACTGGACCAAATCTGGGTTCCAGGCAAGGGCCAAACACAGACCATATCTGGGCCAAGTCTCAGCCAAGTTAATAACTCATAACTGGGCCTGAACTGGGCCAGATAGGTTGGTGTGTCACGATTGCAATGAAATTGATAAACGCATGGAGTGATGCGCTTTAGGCACACTATGGGCACGCTTTTTCTCAAAGTGACCTGATTGGTAGAATTCTTTTTCTTTACTCAAAAATGATTTTAGTGTATTTTAAATGTGGGTCAAGACTGGCCAAACTCACATGGCCCACTTATCAAATTTTTAAATCTGGGCCAAATACTACGTTTTTCATCTGGCCCAAATCCTGTGTGCCACCTTAAAGACGGTGCCACCTCTGCCAAATCCGGGCCATGATTGGCCCACATGCTGTATGCCAGTGCCGGATGAATGCCTGCTGTGCCAGCTTTATGCCAAATCTGGGCCAGAATTCTTTGCTACTAGGGTTGTATCAAAATGATAATGCACCAATACACATAGCAATACACACACACAAGACTGGTGGCAGAGCAGTTTGATGAACATGAAAGTGAAGTTGAACATCTCCCATGGTCTGCACAGTACCTAGATCTCTATATTATTGAGTCACTTTGGGGTGTTTTGGAGGAGTGAGCATGATCAACTACTGTGCTCTAAAACCAGGTCTTCAGTATCATTGTCCAACCCCACATAGACACTGATACACATAAACACACACACACTCAAATCAATTATATTTATTGTCATTTACTGTGCTCAAAACCTGCCGGAACTACTTTAGCTGTGCGTTTATCTGACAATAACAGCACACCTTAGAATGCTCATCGGCCAATTAGAATCAAGCATTCCCAAAGAAAGCCTTACTTCCACACTTCTGCCAGTTTTGCCCTTGAGTGAGTCTCTATAGCAGAATGTTGGACAAAGCATTAGATAAATGTGATGTAAATGGGCTGTAAAACAGCAAAGCCGGACACTGAAAGTCAGAGTGTTAAATCCCACACTGCGCTTGTGTGTGGATCTCCATCTCCATCCGTATAATCGCAATGAGCTTTTTTCCCTCAGTGTATAATTATCACGTCCGCACTGCGGGTGATCGGTGTGTGTTTGAACTCTGTGCTGAAGCTGTAAAGATCAGTGATCATACATGTCACATACAGTATTCAGGGTTTCATACAGGTTTATCTTTGGGGGGTTGACTTGATCAATTTTTTATGGTGTCCTTCCTCAGAAATCCTCAGCAGTATCTGCACTGACAAAATGAAGAGTTTTTCCTTAAAACAAGCAAAATAATCTGCCAATAGATTAAGCTTTGAAATAAAAGTGTTTTGCTTACCCCATTGGCAGATTATTTTGCTTGTTTTAAGGTAAATAATAAATTAAATTAGTATTTTTATTTTTTTAAACCTACATACACTCACTGGCCACTTTATTAGGTACACCTCACTAGTACCTGGTTGAACCCCCTTTTGCCTTCAAAACTGCCTTAATTCTTCGTCTTATAGATTTAACAAGCTACTGGAAATATTCCTCAGAGATTTTGCTCCATATTGACATGATGACATCATGCATTTGTCGGCTGCATATCCATGAGGCCACCACATCCCAAAGCTGCTCTATTGGATTGAGCTCTGGTGACTGTGGAGGCCATTTGAGTACAGTGAACTCATTGTCATGTTTAAGACACCAGTCTGAGATGATTGAGCTTTATGACATGGTGCGTTATCCTGCTGGAAGTAGCCATCAGAAGATGGAGACACTGTGCTCATAAAGGGATGGACATGGTCAGCAGCAATACTCAGGTAGGCTGTGGCGTTGATGCTCAATTGGTACTAATGGACCCAAAGAAAATCTCCCCCACACCATTACACCACCACCACCAGCCTGAACCGCTGATACAAGGCAGGATGATCCATGCTTTCATGTTGTTGAGGCCAAATTCTGAGCCGAGCATCCGAATGTGTCAGCAGAAATGGAGACTCATCAGTGCCCACCATTCTCATTAAGTGAGGTTAATATTAACTTAAACAAATTAATATTTATTCATTAATTTTCTTTTCTGCTTAGTTCCTTTATTATTCTGGGGTCGCCACTGCGGAATGAACCACCAACTTGTCCAGCATATGTTTTATGCAGGGGATGCCCTTCCAGCCATATTTTATCTCTGGGAAACATCCATACACAGCCAATTTAGCTTACCCAATGGACCTGTACCGCATGGGTTTGGACTGTGGGGGAAACCGCAGCTCCCAGAAGAAACCCACACAATGCAAGGAGAACATGCAAACTCCACACAGAAACGCCAACTGACCCAGCCGAGGCTCTCG